GCGTCTCGTGGTGATGCTGCTAACTTATTTCCAGTGCTGCCGTCTGTTTTTACACAAGCGCAGACTGAGAAATCCGAAAGAAATCAGAGTAAGAGTTTACATGCTCTGAGAAATCGGACTACTGAGCTAATATCCAGCCTCTTTATCAGATTTCTTAATCAGATTTCTAGATCGGAGTATGGTGTTTATATGATCATTTGAATAATCAGATAACTGCAGAAATCCAATTATGTTTGGATTATTGAGTGCATGTAAACACAGTGTTACTCCAAATAAATATGAGGACTTAAAGGGATACTTATTTTACACAAAATAATTGCAGAGCACTTTGGAGATTTTACCCCACACTTACACAGTTAATATCTAGAACCTGTAAGGCATTGTGTAATTTAGTTAAAATGTCTCCAAACTTGCCATCATGCTACCAAAATAGTGATCTAGTACTTTGGAGTTTGAATCTTACTCGTATGTTTTTAATACCTAGAATTTAAGGGACTTTGATTGGACCTAAAGTTTCTAAAATAGGCAAAATGCTGGCTACAGAATGATGCATGACTTCAGGGGTTTATAGCGCTGGTGTGAATTTTTCATTGACTTTGATTTTTTCTTTGACACTTTATTGACTCCTCGATCCAAAAGTAAATCAATGTTTAGGGGTAATAATTAATGTGGGGTGATAATTAACATAGAGAAGCTCGCTATGCAGTAAATTAAAGCCAAGAAGGTAAGCGACGGTTTTAGTACTATATTGTGGTCACAGAAATCAAGTGCTCGAATTTTTGACTTTTTTAAAATGGAAATTTAAGATCCTAATTAAAAAATGTAATTTGTTTCCAGTTGAAAATACTCAAATGGCCAATACTAGTCCTCATCCCAGTTCCTCACACTGAATTCATAGTCTGATTCTGCCTGTGGCCCATTTTAAAACCAGCCAGAATGTTGGGCTGCTACCCCAGATCCATAACTGCCAAGAACTTTTTTTTTTTTTTTTAATATTATTATTACAAACCACAGGTAGAATGGAGGGCCCAATTCACCAGGTGATATTTTTCTCTCTCCACCTCTCCTTGCCAGGTGCATAGGAGCCAAAGGGATGACATAATTAACGCGCTGACAGGCAGCGGCGGCTGAGGGATGCTTTCTGTTCGCCAGACAGCCGCAGCTAGTCGCCCGGCTGCTTCTGTGTGGGCTAGCACTCAGCTACTCCATTATACCGGAGGAGCGATGCACGCAGAGCACCTTGATTTCTAACCAATTCAATCACATAGGCTTCCAGCCTCACTAAACATCACTAACCGGCTAGAGGCCTCTCCGTTTGGAGGAGGATGGAATGTGTTTTAGATGGCCTCTCATTTTATTCTAATGAGAGAGACCCTGTCATCTTCTCATGAGTCCAGATGCCTCCTCATCATCTCCCTTCTCACTAACAATGAGCCCGGTTGCCTCCTCAGGCATTCTGAAAAGTTCCTATGCCCTCGCGCTCTTTAACGTGAGAAGTCAGCTTATACGGTTACATTTTTTAAGCCGTCTCAATTGCATCTTATTTCAAAACATTTTTCACTCCCAAAGTGACAGTTATTATTCAAATTGGATGGAAATGACAGCTCTGTCTTTTTCAAAAGGCCACCGACCCAACACCCTCCGTTTGAATATATCTCCACTGGAAACACAAATTGCTTTATTTCCCAAGTCGCTCCTCAGTCGCTGGCGGCCCAAGCCTGCGTGCCCTTTCTTTAAAGGTAATCACTTTTTGGATAATGGAACAGCTTTACTCTGCTCTGCAAATGATAGATAAATCAAGTTGTTTTAAAAAGTTCCTGCTTTTTCAGTCACTTTGCACCTGGAGTAATTATTGAGTTTTGGTCTCTTTTTAGTGGAGCCATTATGGCTACTGAAGATGAGCTAAACTTTACCACAGTTTTTACCCTGCTGCACTTTTATCACTTTTCACCTTTCATGCCCATTATTTTGGGCAACTTTGCTTCGTCCTCCAGCGGAAAACTCGTGGACACCCAATGGACAACATGTGCAAGGAGAGCTGAGCTAATAGGCATTGTCTGACGGGCAGCGGCTGGCGCATACTAGGCGAACTTAGAAGTGGCAGCATGTTCATGTGGGGCCATTATTCAAAGGGAATATCAATGTAGGAGAAAACGTGGGAGTCGGACAGGGAGGTTGAAAGCCCACTTCTCTGAGCGCTCCCTTGGGCCCTGCAGCCCGCAGCATATGGCCGGCCTAAGAGTCCCATCCTGCACACAGCCCAGAAAATCAATGAAGAGTAAACGCGAGGTGCAAGGGAGGGCACCGGCTGAGAGGAGACTTCTGAATATGAGTCCTCGACAGTGGAACTTTGAAAACAGATCAAGATTAAGTCAAGCACACAGGAGTTCTTAATTGAAATAGAAATGTGCCGTGTAGCTCAGTCTGAAGCGTCACAAGGGAAAAAAAAGAGAAACGATCTCATTAAGTTCGGGTACCTCTCCCGCTTGCTCTCTCTGCGTTGCTTTTATCTTCACTTTCATGAGAACGAATTCACGCTTCTAAAAAGGAGGAACTGCAGTCGAGATTGATGGATTCCTCATGCTTATCGTTGCACCTCTGACTTACTCCGGGGTCGCCCAGGCACCCATCGTTTGGTTCGAGCAGAGCTGTTTGTATTTTTATTTGTGACTTTGTTGCGAAGGAGTGAACTCGCTGAGGCAAATCCATAATTAATCACGTCACATCGACGTGTCCTCTCTTGCAAATAATCGGGGACATTTTGAAATTCAGACAACTCCTGGCAGAGTAATGGGATACCATTACTTTAGTGCAGCGAGCGTGAAGATAGCACAGCTGAATCAAACGGGAGATAGAGTTTGTTGATGATTAATTTACCGCTGGAATATGTTATACCTCTGAAAAGTGTGCGAGTGACCGACGTCATGTCTTCAGGCTCATTAAAATCTGACAAGTGTCAAGCAAATTGCACAGTCGGATGAGCTTTGGCAATTATCACCAGTTACAGCAGGGTAAAGGAGATCAGTGCATGGTCTGGAGCTTAATGTCTTGCTTGAAAAGCATATTACAATATTATGAATTTCACAGCAGTCGGGAACACACTGACAAGATCTCTCAACCAGCCAAGGTCAGACAACTCATCTGGAATTGTAACAAGCGCTGAGAGCAATTTCAGCAGATTTCTATTGAACGATTTAAGAGAATCTGTACACTGAATGCTGCTAAATACACTCATCTTTAATCATTGCTAATCTTTCATACACGTTGGTCTGGCATAGAGTATTTTCAAAAACAGGACACACAAAAACATTCTATGAAATGCAATATTTCTATAAATACGGGATCATATCTTTTTTTCTTGAAGCCATGAAATCACACAAAGGACAGTGTTCTGGTTTGATATTTTCAACAGATAAAACCAGCAAATGTTCACAAGGCTGTAGCTTATGTAATCTCACAGATCCAATGTGGTTAAGCTTCTATAGCCTTGATTTCATTTCAGTGGGGCCTAATGCTACGTCAGGGTGTGACTGGGCTTAACTGATTATGCTTTACATTTTATATCCACTCTCATGTCCAGACCACAGAGATACACTATATGGCCAAAGGTATGTGACACCCCATGAGTTCAGGCGTTGCAGCCACGCCCATTTCAAACAGGTGTATAAAATCAAGCACATAGCCATGCAACCTCCATAAATAAACACTGGCAGTACTGAAGAACCCAGTGACTTTAAACATGGTACTACACTGTTAGAAATATAGGTTCTGTTCAGGTACATTTTTCTTTAATCAAGGTACAAACAATGCAAATGAGCCCTCAAAGGTACAACAGTGGTTTTAAGATCCAATTGTGCACCTGAAATTAGTTTTTCCAGGTGAAAAGTTTGTATTTGTAGCTTTTCATAACCGAATGTTTTAAAACAGAACAGTAAAATAAAAGCCTGGAGACGAGACGGGGTGTGTGGAGTCAGTACAGCTTAGAAAATATCATTTCAGTGGATTATGGTTCAGTTATGTTCCCTGACTAAAGGTACTGAGATAAACCCACGAGGGTTCCACCCCAGTGAGAGGGATACTGCCCCAGTGACAGTTTCACACCTTTTATTTTTGAGAGTGTATCACAGGATACAATAAGTCAGTTTGTAAATTTTCCGCCCTGCTGAATCTGCCGTTAAATGAAAGTGCTGTAAGGTAACAGCAACTATACCTATAAGCTGTAAAGTCAACAGCTTCCAGCCACAAAGCAGTAGACCAAGCAAACTCACAGAGAAGGGCCGGTGAGTGCAGAAGTACATGATGGTCTTTGAAAGCTTTCTCCCAGAATCCACTTCATCGCTTATCAGAAATGTACTCTATGTCTACACTGCTGTTATGTTCAAGCAGCCAATCGTCATAGCTTACAGCTTGATTCAGTACTTTCTCAGTTCCCCCAAGCCTATTCCTGCAGGTATTTCAACAAGTTGGCCCCACTGGCACCGCTCCACACTGGTTTGTACCTGACAACTCTGATAAAGCTGTTGGTTCCTGGGAGCTTATGCCCCTCCACAGATGTCCCCAGTCAGACGCTGGCATGGGAGATGGCTGGCAGGCTTTGTTAATCTGGGCCTGGGCCATGCAGATAGCACCCTATCTCCCTGCCTTTCTACCCACCTGGGCTGTAGCTTTTCACAGCTTCTTGTTCATGTGTAATTGAATTACAATAATAAGTGTGGAACCTTAGTAGTAACTGGCTCTGGCTTGGAAAGAAAACAAAAGAAACTTTGTCTAAGGCTGTTAGGATAAAAGTCTGAAGCATCGGCTGACTTAATGGTGCATTATGTGTACCGAAAGGCAGTCTTTTACAATCGCACATACCTTTTATAACCTTTGTTATTTGTGTGTCGACTGCAGCTAATGTCTCTTTTGTCTCTGTCTTTCTTTCCACTTTCCTGTCTGTCATCTGTCTTTCACTGCTCCTCTGCTATTCTTTCTCTCTCTTTTTCCATTCCTCCCTCCAGTTATGGAGACATGGTGCCTAAGACGATCGCGGGGAAGATTTTCGGCTCCATCTGCTCCCTGAGCGGGGTGCTGGTAATAGCCTTGCCTGTGCCTGTCATCGTGTCCAACTTTAGCCGAATCTATCACCAGAACCAGAGAGCAGACAAGCGGCGTGCTCAGAAGGTACAGGTGAACACCTTTAGGTAGTTGCTGAGCTTTGCCGCACTAACGGGGTGACAAAGGCTGGCCAGTGTGCGTGCGAGTGCGCATGTGTCTGTACATATGTGTACGGGTGTAAGAGAGAGAGAATGGTGCACCTTCGCCCCCACCACTGGCCCCAGACGAGCGACTAACACCTGGCATGTGCTGAAAACTGGGACTGGCACAGTGGACCATGGCTGGGTGCATGCCCTTGGACCGGCCAGCGAAATGCACCACCAAATGGCCGCTCATGCAAAGGATCATTAGCTTAATGGTTGTGGCAAAAATTTGATGAGCGATGGCCTCTTTTGATGAAGGGCAGATAGGACTGATGGCGGTCAGCAGGTGAGGTTTTTGTCATTTAGATGAATGAGGCCTTTGTTCATCAAGAGAGCTTACAGGTGTGTAAACGGTTTATAGATCGCTTTCCCACTTGCTAATCCATTTTCTGATTTGAAAACCCTGCATGAACTTCCGCTTTCAGCTTTTGCTCTTCTTTTATATATATCATCTTTGCATACATAACATTTCCATACATAACATTTCCATACATAACATTTCCATTTCCACTGGTAACACTTATAAGCCATTATAAAGGTTCTAATAACTGTGTAACGTAGTAACAATGCTTTGTAAGCATATTTATAAATGCTAATAGTGTTTCATAAAGGTCTAATAATGAACTATAATTGTTTGGTGTAAGGCATTGTAATGGATAGTGATACTTGTGTTACAACATGCTTATAAGTCAAAGAATTCATTTTAGTACAGGGTGATTCAAAAAGATTTGTCCGATTTCAAAGTGCCATATTTTTACAACCGTGAGGCGCCTAGGAACCAATCACATACCAATTGAAAGAGGGGGTCATAGAGTTTCTGTCAGTGGAAGATGGCTCCCTTCAGTCTGTGAGGAGATGAGACCCCTGAGCAGAAAGCGTTCTGCGTTCTCCACTTCAATAAGAGTGAATCCGTCATAACTGTGCAGTGTGATTTTCATCGGCAGTGAACCTCAAACAGCTCCGAGCGTTCGTCGCTGGTTCCACAACACTGGATCATCTCCGAAATCGCACTGAAAGAGCTGTGAGTGCAGCAACACCCGACATGCTCAATCCAGTATGGGATGAATTTGACTATGGCGTTGATGTCTGTACAGCTGGAGGAGGTTCATACTGAGACCTTGTACAATTACATAATAAACTTTATGCTTATTTAAACCATTTACAGTTCACTGCATTGCTCTGTAATGATTTACAAGTGAAATAAATCATTTTGAAATCGGATCAATCTTTTTGAATCACCCTGTATTTTATAACAGCCTTATAAGGCAGAGTTAGCACACGTCATTTCACCTGTTTATCATTCTAGTATTTTTACTGTTCTGTAAATACACCATTTCTTTTTCAGAACCTGGTTTAATGTGACATTCGATTAACATATTTCTAGAAGATTCTGGGATAAATTCTCATTTACACTAAAACAATACTAGCTTTGATGCATCTGTAGCAAGTATTCTTCCACCGATGATCCCTGACAACCTTCCCTAAAATCCACCGAGCTTTATGATCAGAACAATGCCCGAATGAATCATGAATGAATCACTGCAGTTTCATAGTGCTTTTCTACGCCGAAAGCGCTTCGCACATTTCATATTTACTCATGTGATTTAAGATAAGAAACCCACATTTATTTTATTCCTCCAAATTAACACGCTTTAAACCGCATATTCCCCCAAGCGCTGAAGAAAATGCTGTATAATGCAACCATTTGCATCAGCGTGAGGTCGGATTGTTTGTTTATTGAACGTTTTGTTATGCTTCCTGCAGAATCTAATTATTTCGCAGAGAAATTCAGCTAAAACAGTCAAATAAAACCCTGCCGTGAGGCAGTCCCCGGAGTGTGTATAGTGCTGAGATAGAACGTATGATACCTAGTAGGTGTGTTTATGTTTCCATTTATTTCAAAGAATTATACAGCTCCACTCTCCCTATTGACTGCGCACCCCCAGTAGACACTCAACCTGCTCACCTTATGCTTAAATAACAACAAATGCTCTCGAGCCCAGCGACAGTGCAGCTGACCTTTCAGAGCTGGCACATAAAAACAGGTTTGAAAGCACAGAGCTTGCACACAGAGGGAAAGAGAGAGATAGAGGAAGTGAGAGAGAGAGGGGCAGAGAGAGAAATGGAAAATGAGAGAGAGAGAGAGAGAGATGCACAAAGAGAAAGCAAAAGAGAATAAGAAAATCAGTGAGTGTGTTTTGAGACGGAGTGTGGTTCGGGAGACAGAGGCAGCTTTGGGATCTGCTTGCCCTTAATAGTGCTCTCTTGCCTCAAATAGCTCCCCTCAACAAGCTCTTGTTGGCGAATTGGAAAGGGAAGTCATTCAGCGTACCCTTCACACCTGCCAGTGCTCAAAGGACAGAAGCAGCAGTGCCCAACCCTGAGAAACTCCACAGCTCCTCCGAACACAAGCTTTATTAACTGCTGTAGACAAGGACGGCACACTAAAGCAGATAAAACCGAAGGACCCTTTTCACAAAGAGTCGCGATTATTTCCGGTTTAAGCGTTATCAGGGTAAAACTCACTTCCGTTCCATATGACTACTGCAGAAGCGATGACAAAATGTCATAGTAGTGTACTATAATGCTCAAACACTGAGCTACAACAGATATAATTTAGTTTTCCTGCACTGTCGTGACAAACAGCGAGAATAAGAAGTGAATGGAAGCACTGATTTAACTGTAAACAGAGCTAAGATGCTGTATGTGTGGAATAGCCTTGTTTCTGCTGCAGCTGCTTCACATCAAGCAGTCTCTGTGTCTTTGTACAACATCCCAGCAATTTCTGCAATATTTCTGTTTTCAGAAGAAAGAAGAACTTTTATATGCAGTATGAATTTGATGGACTCCGTTTATATTAAGCTAGCTACGCTGTCTAGAAGCTACTGTTAACAGTAGCTATCATCCCAAACTATCCCAAACTATTTTAAAAAGCTAATGAGGCAATAAACCGCCAACGAAATAATTCTTACATGATCAGCTCAGTACAAACAGCTAACGTTAGCTGGCACATTATGTCAGAAACCTTTCGTGGCTCTTCTCAGATCACAAACTAGCTAGATATGCCAGAAAATGGACATCAAAACACCGCAGCATAACCGCGATTCTAAAATACAAGTCAGCTAGGAGTCGTGTTTTTGATCGAGCAGTGAAAGGTGGATGTTTTCCGAAGTGCTGCTTCAAAAATCACCATGAAACTAAAAGAATGATGCTCTTTGACAGATTGCTAACACAGTTAGCCAGCTAGCTTTAAAGTTTGCTACTCATATGAAGCTGGAGTTCCTTAAACTGCTAATGGTAGGCTAGCTAATTAGCGCATGTAGCCTGCTAGCCTACCATAAGCTAAAAAACAGTTTGAACTGTAAAAAAGACTTTAAATATAAAAGTTTTGCTTTGCGTTTATAATAGAAGAGAAATCGCTGCTGTAAATGTGTCACAGAACCTGCTCCACGTTAGCTGGCTGGTGCCAGCAGCTAATGAAAACTAGCTTCCTTGTTTGGGAACACAGCTACAGTTAGCAAGGGCCTCTAACATAGCTAGCTACAGCTAAACAACGTCTATCAAATTCATATTACATATAAAAGCTCTTCTCTCTTTTCAAAACTGCAGCAGCAGTAAGCAGGGCTACAATAAATACAGATACACACATTTTAGCTCGGTTTAAAGTTAAATCAGTGCTTCCATCCACTTTCTATTCTCACTGTTTGTCATGACTACAGGAAAACTAACATATGTCTGTTGTAGCTCAGTATTTGAGCATTAAGGTACACCACTATAACATTTTATCATCGCTTCTGCAGTAGTTATATGGAGCAGACGTTTTACCCTGCTAAGGCGTAAACCGGAAGTAATCGTCACTCTCTGTGAAAAGGGTCTGTTTCTTTTACCTTTTTCAATAAAGGAATTTGATGCACTATATAAACACTGTTTTAAAACATACCATCGTCCCCATGTTTGGTACAGTCCGTAGTTGGACATCCAATAAACTGTCTAAATGAAAGAGAATTTCTGTAATATTCCTATAACACAGTTAAAGTACACATTTATTTGTTTATGTTTGAGAAGTTATAGAAAAGTTGTACATTTTTGATGAAATTACATGTTTTTAAAAAGTTATAGATAGTTTGGAGAACATTCCTGTCAAAATACATTTTCCTGTTAAATTTTAGAAACACTTAAATTGTACAGAGAACGAAATTTTGTTTTGCTTGTGTTAAAGACATAATACACGATTCTGGAGAACAATTGTTGATATTTGAACTCAATGGCAAAACAAATGCACCCCTAGTTTCAATGCTCCTTCAGAAGCTCTGCCCCCCAAATTCATTAACATGAATTGCCAGGGCGAACGACACTGGGCTAGCAAACTTGTTTTTTTTTTTTTTTCATGGCCATAAAACCCCATGCAAAATGTTACACGGACAAATTTATACCACAATATAACGTTAGAGCAAACAATAACACAGCAAGTAAGGTAACTAACGCTAGCTTGGTAGTGGGTTAGCAAACTGCCGCTACAATTGCTGCTGTGAACCAGCTGCTATCACAAACGTTAGAAATGGGACAAAACAATACTGACCTATTGGTTCTGTGAAACAGCAAAACTAAGTTAATATAACCCCACTCAAGCAGGAGCAACCTCCTCATCCCTTTTCATGCCTTTCAACTTTCGGTGAAGCTTCTTTTTTGCCAGCTTCTTGCTCAAATTTTCCTCTTCTACCTTAAACAGTGCAGCAGTTTGATTCTGGTGCCTAAGCTTCTTGGTTGAATTTCCCATTCCACCTTAAGTAGTACAGCAGTTAAGCTGTGTTCAGGTGCCTCAGCTTCTTGTTAGAATTTTGCAAGTTTGACCTTAAATAGTGCAGCAGTTATATTCAGGCCCCTCAGGAACTGCTGCATGATTTGAGATGGGATGAGAAAATGCGAATA